CCTCCCAAAGTGCTGGGATTACAGGCATGAGCCACCACGCCCAGCTGATCCCATACCTCTTTACCTGGGCTCTGCCCCATTCTTGAACTAATCCATCAGCTCTCCTGGAGCCCTGTTACTAGGGCATGACCAGAGGCGGTCGTGTCCATGAGTCAGCAAGCCTGGACCCAGGGCTGTGCCTCTGCGTCCATCACCGCTGCCCTACCCTTGCCAGTGGTGGGGGTGGTCTCCCAGGCTCTGACTCCTTCCCAACCCGCCTCTCCCAACCATGAAAAGAATGGTCCTCAGCATGTGCAATGGTGCACAGCCCTATTATTTTATCAAGGAGCCTTCTGTGATTAGAGGAAGTGGATTTGTGCTCATCATCTTGCAGGGAGGACAAATCTGAGTTTCCAACTCCTCCTTTGAGTTGGGCCCCTGCAGGGCCATCTCTATTTGCTAGCCCTTTGCACTGAAATTCCTTGGAGTCCAATCTTGCTTCCTGACGTGTCAGCTTGGTTGACTGTTTCCTCCTGAGTTCCACCACTTTGAACCCAGCACTCAGTGAGTATTCGCCGCTGGGCACCGCTGCGCTTGGGTTGGTGGCACAGCTCTCAAGGGGACACTGCATTTGGCTCTGCCAGAACCTCCAGGTGACCCAGAGCCAACTTTCATGTTGAAACTTTCAGGCAGATCATATACATTCGAACTCCCAAATGCATACAAATGCAAGCCTGTGCGGTGGTTACAAATTCTTAGGAAGACGTTTATCTTCACCTGAACTCAGGTCAAGACAGACAAGCTTTGTTCTAACTCTCTGAATGGGTGGGAGATATATATTTTTTTTTAATCTAAACTTTCGCTGATTTACATTTCAGTGAAATTGAATCCCACTGTATACAAAAGTTTCAATCCAATTCCTCGCCCTGAGAAGCCCAAGGCCTCCTTCCCTATCCTGCTTAGACGTTAAGATCTAAACTGAGTGGCCACCCAGCCTGGCGGCTTCCCTCCGCTGAGCCCCAGGGCCACACAGCATATCTGTACCTCTCCCCACTGTGGCTCTTTGTTCTTCATTTCCGGATCCAAGGGATTGTCTTACTTTCCTGCTAGTTCAGCTATGCATTTACAATAATGTTTGCTACATGTTCTGCAGCATTTCTAGGCGCTTTATAGTTAGGGAATTTTCTGACTGGCTCACACCATTGCTAGAAATATAGGTCTCCCGGCTGGGTGCGTGGCTCACGCCTGCAATCCCAGCCCTTTGGGAGGCTAAGTCAGGCAGATCACCTGAGGTCAGTAATTCAAGACCAGCCTGGCCAACATGGTGAAACCCCGTCTCTACTAAAAATACAAAAAAACAGTAGCCGGGTGTGGTGGCGGGTGCCTGTAATCCCAGCTCCTCGGGAGGCTGAAGCGGGAGAATTGCTTGAACCTGAGAGGTGGAGGTTGCAGTGAGCTGAAATCGCGGCACTGCACTCTAGCCTGGCCTGGGTGACAGAGTGAGACTCTATCTCAAAAATAAAAAATAAAATATAAAAATTTTTAAAAAAGAAAGAAATCTAGGTCTCCCTCTGCAATTTACAAAATAGACTATAGCTCAGAGAGGGGCAGTAAGCTGCCGGAGGCCACACAGCATGTCTGAGGCACACTCAGGCCTCCCAATCAGTCTCTCTCTCCTGCAGGGGACAAGCAAAGGTATGCTTCAGTGAGGAACTCAAGCAATTAAGCCTTTGATGGACCCTAGCCCCATCCCCGCCCTGCCAGGAGCCCGTCCAGTGATGGCAATAGGGAAGGGAGGGCGGAGGTTGGCACGGGTTCTGCCCCAGGTAGTTTGGAATGAGAGGCTGTGGGAGACAAGCAGCCGGAGTGAGTGGGATGGACAGGGTTCAGAGAGAGGCTGGCCTACTCACGCTTCCTGGAGCCCGGCTGCAGCTCGTCTACACGGTACACGGAGAGCCGGTCCACAGCGCCACACACAGAGCCCTTCTCGCCTTTGCACTCATGGCTACACTCTTCCAGCCCGACGCTCGTCGCTGGCAGCCGGTTCCCGCAGTAACACTCCGCCCCGGCCTCCAAGCCGGCGTAGACATAGGACCTGAAGGGAGACAGGGCCTGGGTGAGTCCGGACCTTGGCCCAGAGCTAGGGCTGGGGTCTAAACTGCAGGCTGTTTCAGCTTGATCTAGACTAGAAAGTATGTTTAAGCAAGGACCTTGTCTCTTCTTTCTCCTGCCTCAGATTCTCCATCTGCCTAAGAGGGATAACTCATTGCTACCTGGCAGACTGTGGAGAGGATTTATGTGGTCATGCAGTGGCAACTGGGTCTGGAGTAGGGATATGGGCTGGACTTGAAGCTGGTCTGGGTGAACAGGCAGACAGGGGCTACAGCCGTCAGCCTATGGCTGGTCTTAGGAATCAGTCTCCAGCCACACTCAAGGGTCACCTGGCTAAGTTCAGGGAACAGTCTTTCCTTTGTGATAAACTAATGGAACCAGCCCCACTGCTCCCTCTCGCCAGCCCTGAGTTCTGCCCTGCAGGGTGCCTGGTCACAGGTTATAATGGGTCTAAATCTGTGATGTGCCTGTAAACTGGTTCTCAGTATGTGACCAGGAGAGCTCTGGTTTGTACTGTTTGCCAATTTCTGTGGTGTAAACACTCCCACTGTAGAAGATTTTAAGCTACCAATAGTTTTATAATGGGCTTACAACAACTCTAAAAATTTAACAGTTTACCCTGGTGAGTGGCCATGAGCTGGTCTGAATTGCCTGCCACATGTCATGTCTTGTTACACGCAGCCCTCATCTCCACAGCCATTTCTCTACTTACTTTTACCTAGTTGTAATACCATAGGTAAAGAAAGGTTGGAAATGGAACCCACAGTGAATCACACAGGACTCCAACTACAGAAAGCAGTCAACACTTTCAAATCAGTGGATCTAGATGTGAAAAGCCCAGAATGAAAATCCAAACACAAGCTTCAAGTCCCCATTTGACCACGTCCTAGTCCTAGCGGTGAGACCCTGAATATCACTTACCATCTCCGAGTCTCAGTTTCCTGATCTATTAGGAGACTAAAAAGAGAATGTATCATCCTGTTTCCACTTTATCTAGACTATGACGTATGTTTCCGTAAGGACCTTGTCTTTTCTTTCCCCAGCCTCAGTTTCTCCATCTGTAAAATGGGGATAACCCATTGCTACCTAGCCGACTGTGGAAAGAATTTATATGACATAACAAAAGTGAAAAAAATCTGTGGGATAAATAAGTGAAGGGTGAAGTCTGATTCTGTTTAACCCACCTCTCTCAGATGTGTACACACACACACACACACACACACACACACACACACATACACAGTCAATTGTGAAGGCCTTGACATTAGGGACCATTGCCCTGGCATATGGTAAGTGTCTGGCAACTATTGGGTGAGCTGGAAGTATCAGAAAAAGTAAACCTTGTTATACACACAAGGTGAAAATACTTTTCCTACCAGAGCTGGAAAGATCTTCTCAGAGAAATCTCAGTTAAAGCCCTTTATCTTATTGTAAAACAGATAAGTAAACGGAGTCCCAGGGAAGGAAAAGAACTCACCAAAGTCACACGCTGAGTCCCAGCTATGGCTGGACTGGAAGTCGCATCTCCCTGCACTCAGCACCAGCACCCAAGCTCCCAGCACCCAGATCATCACCCAACTCCCAGCACCAGGCCATCACCCAGCTCTCAGCACCCAGGCCACCACCCAGCATCCAGCACCCAACTCCCAGCACCAGGCCATCACCCAGCTCTCAGCACCCAGGCCATCACCCAGCATCTAGCACCCAGGCCATCACCCAGCATCCAGCACCCAGGCCATCTGCCAACAAACTTTCTTTCTTCTGGACAACTGGGATCTGATCAGTGCATTCTAATTATGCTATGACAGCCAACTGGTAGCTGATATGCCTCGTCACTCTAGAACTGTCCCTGGACCTTCCTCCCAGTGGAATCAACAGCCCAGGACCCAGCACTCACCGCTCCGCACACGCATCCTGGCAGTGGGAGACAGTCATCTTTCTCAAGTCATAAAACACAGCTCCTTTCAGAGTCCTCTCGTGGCCATCATCACTGAAGCATCCAATGTAGGTGCCTGCAGAAAGGGAAGCATGGCTGACACCAGAGGCCCAGGAATCACGGGCCCACCCTTAGGAAAAGCCAGGGGAACCTCTCCCTTCCTGGCCAAGGCCACTTCTCAGAGAAACCCGGGGGATGAGAGCTGCAGGCAACCTCCCCCTCAGTGCTGAGTCAAGGGAGCATCTGACACCTCCCTCTTGTTTGTTTCCTGCCCATTTTCTCTTAGTTAATGGCCCACTGTCCACCCAGACAGCTCTGCCAGGAGCCTGGCGTCAGCCTGACCACTGCTTTCTTCCACTGCCCCCAACTCACAAGTTGGGAAGGCTGGATTACCTCTCATGGGCTCCACCCCTCCTCTCCAGCCCTGCCCTCCCTGGGCTCAGAGCGGCCTCTCTACCTTGGCAAGTGTCCTGAGAGACAAGGTCCTTGTGGGCCAAAGAGAAGAAATCCCTTAGGGCAAGTTTGATTTTAGCAAATTCAAGGAAGAGCTTTCAAACGGGGCAAGCTATCTCAAGATAAAGTCTGTCATCCTAAGAGGGAGTAAGGCCCCATCTCTGGAGTGTGTCCGCAGAGTCCGTTAAGAGTAGGAGAAAGCGTCCTGTGTGGGAAACAGCAGGGCCAAGTGACCGCAGAGGCCTCTCCAGGCTGGTCACCTGCACACATCCCTGGAAGGGGATGCCGGGGACACCCATGCTGCAGTGGCAGTGAGAGGCCAGCCGTGCCCACACGCACCAGCGAGAGTCTTTCACAGCCCTGCCCTGCCACCCCGAGGGAGGGAGACATCTCCCAGAGATGCGCAGAGAAGCTCGGAGATGGCAGTCCCGATGCGAACGCGGGTAGGCATGTAAATGTCACGCGCACCAGTGTTTTGAAGGAGCGGCGTGGGAATCTGCAAACACGCCGTCACACGGCCCCCAAGCTGTGAACGCACACCCACAATAGCTGCGCAAGATCTGGATCGGGCACCTGTGATAAAGACGCCGCACGTCTCCGCAGGAAGGGCTGCGTTCCACTCATTCATGTCATCTGGGGAGCGCGCCGCTGCCTCCAGAGAAATTAGGCTGCCTCTGGGAAGTAACACGCCCAAGGCCTCCCAGCAGCCTGCCAGCGGCTCCCAAGCGGCTTTTCGGGGAGGAGGAAAGTCCCGATGGTCCACAGGCCTGGGTGCTCCATGAGGGCAACGGAGACTGTCTTTGTTCCTGCCAAGAGCCTGGTCTGGGGCAGCGGCTGGGGGAGCCAAGGCACCACTGAGTGGCCTAGGGGAGGAAGCCTGCCAACCATCCGCTTCTGGCCCCTCATCGACGAGTGACTTTTATTTGTATTTAGCAGAGAGCCAAAATACAAAGGCGGGGGCTGGGCGCGGGCTCACACCTATAATCCCAGCACTTTGAGAGGCCGGGGCGGGTGGATCACTTGAGATCAGGAGTTCAAGACCAGCATGGTCAACATGGTGAAACCCTGTCTCTACTAAAAATAAAAAAAAATTAAAAAAAAAAAAATAGCTGGATGTGGTGGCACACACCTGTAATCCCAGCTACTCCAGAGGCTGAGGCAGGAGAATCACTTGAACCTGGGAGGTGGAGGTTGCAGTGAGCCAGGATCGTGCCACTGCACTCCAGCCTGCGTGACAGAGTGAGACTCTGTCTGACAGTAAACGCCACATTTAATTCCACCTCTGCCCTCGCTAAATAACTTCAACCTTCTGTGCCACAGTTTCCTCACCTGTCGAACACATACGTGCCCACCCACACCGCCTCCCCTTGCTCAGGCTCATGTCTCTGGCCTCCAGGTTTGGGCCTGTCACTGCTCATCCCGCCTACCTACCCTTCGCTTCCTGCCTGTCCTCAGGCCTTACATCTCCGACCCTGACCATGCCAGCGCACAGTGGCCTCCCCTTTCTCTGGGTTTTTATATGCTATGCTTGAAAAACTCATCCACCATCTATACCCTTGCCATTAGCTGTTGGAGTCAAAAATCTTTTACACCTGGCTGGGTACAGTGGCTTGTGCCTGTAATCCCAGCACTTTGGGAGGCTGAGGTGGGTGGATCACTGGAGGTCAGCAGTTCGAGACCAGCATGATCAACATAGTGAAACCCCATTTCTACTACAAATACAAAAATTAGCCTGGTGTGGTAGCACATGCCTATAGTCCCACCTACTCGGGAGGCTGAGGCAAGAGAATTGCTGGAACCTGGGAGGCGGAGGTTGCAGTGAGCCGAGATGGTGCCACTGCACTCCAGCCTGGCGACAGAGCAAGACTCCATCTCCAAATATATATCTTTTACACCTGTGCGTCCTATCTCTGCAACATGATTGAAGGCTCCTAGAGGACAGGAATTACACCTTTACCAGAGCTGGTGACCCCCCGGTGACTCGCCAGGGATAGGCGCAATGTCAACATCCGCGCCTGACTGTGAACGGTGGGTTCCAGCTCCTAAAAACCATGCTGACATGCCTGGAGGGTGCAAAGTTAGGAGCCGAGAGCCTAAATACAAAGGCTGGGGTCAGGCGTGGTGGCTTACACCTGTAATCCCAGCACTTTGGGGGACC